TGAGAAATTAAATTAAAGAAAAAAAAAAAAAAAAAACAAGAGAAAGTAGATTTTTCAGCAAGTAGTTTCATTAATAATGGAGAGTTTTGATTTAGCTCATCAAGATAAAAAATACGATTTTACGTCGACTCGCGATGTAAATTGAATTTAACCAAAGATGTTTAATTGTTTCACCTCTCGTATAATCTTCGAAGATGTTTTTAGAATAAGCACATCTTCGAGATATCACGAGAGTAATCAACAAATCCTGCGGGAATGTTCGTTTACCACGCTCGCGATATCGCATTAAAATTTTCATCGAAACTTTCAACGCATAGGCCAATTTTTCTTTCCACTATCTGTGAAATTCACTGGCTCGCGCAAGAAATTAACAAAAATACATTTCTAATTTATCTTTGTACAACGTCGGTATAATAACGATACGATATATTTTCAAATAAACATCTATGTAAATCGAATATACTAACAATGCAATATATTTCATAGAATTATTCATTAAGTGAGAATATATGGCGTCTAATAATTCATCTCGAACATTTCCCGGTTAAAAGACATTTTATAATACAGTATATATCATTTGTTCGCGTAATTCTTTTTTTTTTTCTTTTTTTTTTTCTTCTTAGCATTGGCACATGTTTTAGTCAAAAAATCCGCGCGTATTTTCTTCCCTTCACGTACACATTTACACCACGCACACGGTCTACGTCTAATTTTTTGTTCTTTATGGCTATTTGACTTTTTTTAATTAGTCGGCAGTTATATATATTTGTAAAAGTACACATTTATTTACTGTTATTGGACATCTTACTTCCAATATCCTTTTTTTTTTTTTTTTTTTTTTTTTTTTATTGTACTAACTATCAACAAATAATATTTGTTTGAGAACTTTTTGGCGTACTAATAACTTGACCGATATTTTAATAGTAAATCAACGAAACGTTCGATATGAAATATAGTGATAAATGGAATATTAAAGAACAAATCTTTATAAATGTTTGTAACAAACAATTGTATAAAATTTGCATTTCGATCCTTTGAAGCTGACATTCTTTCGTTTTCGTTACTTATTTCGTTTTGTCTCGTGAAGCGTAAGGCACGTCACTGATTATTGGATTCAATCATAACGTGACGCACCTCCTTTCTCCAAAGGATTAGGAATTAACAACGTTACCTAAATTATACTTTGATTTTTAATCGTCATATATCACAATCTAAATAAAAATATCATTCGTATCGCGTATCAAAAGTTACTTCTCACTCAACCGAAAACCTTATTTTACGACTAATAATATGACTGAAACCAAAGTGTCTCTCCCTCTCTTTGGCTTTTCAATGAAAGGATACAGTGTGATATAAGCGTAAAAGAATTGCCTCTTTGCTTTGATCTCTCCTATGCAGATTAACTAGAAGTACTTGCGCTTGTTGTAATTTCGTATTCACGGTTGACGAGTGTTCTTAAAAAGTGTCGCGGCCCTTGGAATGGAATTCGTTGTTTGTGCGCGTTTCAGCGAAGACAAAGGACTATCGTTTTTCGTCCACGGATCAACAATTGCTTGCAGGGGCCACTTCAACTCGCTCATGAACGTTTGTGCATGGCTGCTGAAATCCCCGGCTTTTAGCAAGCATCTTTGTATTCGTGTGCGTGCATCCCGTGCGCCAACCGCTCAAGTGGCTTACAAATGTTTGCGAACCACTTAAGCGAATGGTGGATATGTGTTAATAGTTCCTTGACTTTTGCGGAGAGAGTTTTCTAAACGTTCTTTACCGCTAATATTTTTTTAAAGACCTCTCGTAGCTTTCACGCGTCGAATTGAACAAACAAATTTATAGAAAATTTCATTCGCCCAAATGTTTCTTTTTTTCTTATTTTTTTTTTTTTTTGGTTCTTCGCTTCTTGTCTTTTGATTTATAATAGTAGAATGATTTCACGATAGTTTGATTGAATGAGTGGATTGATCAATGATTCAACTGGACTGCGGATGTTCATATAAGTTTATGTTATTACCAAATAAAGATTGATCTCATAAATATTACAACAGTATTAGAGTATTTAAGTACTTTAAGTACTTTACTTGGAATATTTTATGTATCCTTGCGTCTTTACATTTTTCAAGGCTTAAACATCCGCAGTACAGTATATGCATGATAATTTATATTAAATTAACACGTATGTACTTCTAGAATAATCCGCATATGCATGCGAAATACACTTCAGCAAGCGAGACTTGCCATTAAAATCTTGGTAATTTGTATTTTTCAAAATTCCAAAGTATTTGACACTGTTTCATAAAATAGTTCACAAATAAATGTGTACAACACCTATTCTACTAGTGTTCTATCAAAATTTCAATCAAGACTTCGTCCTCGTAAAGTAAATCAACATTATATACATGTAATATAAAACAAGTATAAATACTTTGTACACGTGTCGTCAACTTTGATTGAATGTCGTAATATATAGTACGAAATATTGCGATATTTATCTCTAAGTGATGTATAAGGAACTAACGAATTGAGATTATTATCTTCGTTCATCAAGCAACGTAATAATGTCAACTAGTTCATATTAGAATAAATTATATTTTAGTTTTCTATCATTTACTGCAATAGTGACGGAAGATTTTTCAATGTGAATTTCTAATTCAAGATTTGAAACGATAGATTCTGCTCAGAAATACTGGAAAGAAAATCGACAACTGGAAGAACAAGTTGAATAAATTAGAATAAAAGTTTCATTATACAAAAGATACTTGATTTTCTTGCATATATGTATTTTATATGTTATATGCATTTTATATTTTAATTTGTCCTTGTCGGGACAAATGCGAGGCTAAAAAGACGTCTTGGCACCGTTAAATAATTCTTCGCGTGTTAAAAAAAATGACAGCTTTCTTGGTTACCTTGACGTTACGTGTCGTGATCTACGATGAAAAATCGGAAAACGTCGGTGAGTCGCTGTAGACGTGGAAAGTTTGATCTTCGCTGGGAAAAGCGTTAGCTTCCGATTTATAAGACACCACTTTGTCGGAGATGCAACTGATTGTTCCCGTGCGATTTTTACGTACTGGATCGCCCGACTCAAAAAAACAGTTATAAAAATATAAATTAGAAAAGTTAGGAAAATCTAATTTTTCCAATACTAAAATCGATAAATCTATCATATAATTTTCATTGAACAAAGTCAATTTTACTTTGCTTTGTTTTTCATGCATATATGAGAGGTTTCACTTTGAGGGTGCATGTAATGTAGGTATTAGTTCACGATCAAGGAATATTCCCATTATGAAACGTATGGTTGTTGAAGTGGAGCCTAAATAATAAAATTCCGAGTTCCATTATGTAAAAGCAGACCTAATCAATTTGACCCATGAAAGATTCATGTGCTACACACCTTCAAAGTTTGTGAGTTGTTCTCTTAATCTTACATCGAATAACTTGCTATCATCAAGTAAGTATATCAAACACGTAGATTTTCAATGCACGAAATTAGCCCCCGTCTGATCGAACATTCGACTGAGATTTTTAAGATTTAATGAAACATCGATCACCTGGTCAGAATCGCTGGAAATCGACTTCCGACTTCGATTTCGGCAATTATCCGCGAACATCGAAGGACTGGAAATGTCTCTTGATTCTGACACTTCCTGGATAGTTGAGAGCTTACGGTCCTCTTCATCGTCGTCGTATATCTCCACGGTGGTCTCATGAATTCTGGCCTGACACTCTACACAGGGAGGGATGTGTATGAGAGAGACCTAGCTAACCGAGGTCTCCTCGACAGACGGGCTCGCCAGTGCTTGTGTCTCACCGTTGGCATGTTTCACCTCGTCCTGGCTTGGACGTGGTGCCGGTGGACTGCTCCGAGAACAGGAGGTCATGCTCTGCATTGTTTGACTACGACCGCCAGAAAATCGCATGCTGTACGCTGCACGATTACCACTTTGAAGTACACCCGTCTGCAATAATTGAAAGATGGAATAGATGGAGTTATTACTCTTATCAACTTGAGAGAATTACTTTCAATTTTTCTAATTGAATTATTAGACACTACATGTATTTGTATATGATTTTTATGAACCTACAAAATATCTTTGACACCATGAAACTGATATTAGGATTATGCCAGGAGAGACAGTAATTTTAAATAAAAATGTCGAAAATAATACTTCATAAGAGTAATGAACTAGTTTCGAAAATATATATATTTCTTTCCATTAGATTCTACCTAATATTACCCGCCAGTGCGAAGAATTAGTTACTACTAGAATCGTTTCTTTGCTAAATTTTGTACTACTCACATTAGTATGTCCAGGCCGAACATTTTTATACGGTTGAAAAAGTACCAAATATACTTTCGGCGTGAAGAGACAACCGAGAGCTACTGACGCAGAGATGTTGATGCACATGCACATGCTCGCTATTTGTACCTGTAAATTTATATTAACAAGGATTAATTACAAGAAACATACTAAATAGCCGTAATTAAACTAATGACTGAATTATATAAATGAACGACATGAATAAATATACGTATATTAAATACAATCCATTTTTGTATTCTCTTGCTGCATGCCTATAAAAGATTTTTCTAATTTATCCTACGTTTTTGAATGTATATCACGTGTTGCATATTAGATTATCTTGAAATAACGAATCAAATTTTAGAATTGTACCGAATTACCGTTATTAATTAGTTTGATATGCATAATCGCAAGATAATACGTGTCTTTTGTAACTATAGATACCGACCTTATAGTCATTGTTTGAGCCAAAGTAGATGGGTACGAAAGCTAACCATACAATGCACGTCGAATACATTGTAAAACCGATGTATTTCGCTTCGTTGAAATTCTCCGGTATCTTACGTGTTTTGAACGCGTACAGTGTGCACATGAGTATTAGGAACATGTTGTAGACGAGAGACATCATTAAGGAGAACGTGGAAACGCGGCATGTGAGTACTGCTGACAATGGATATGGATGGATCTCCGTGGTATCCGGTGGTTCAATGATTAGCCAGACGATAACACCAACTAATTGCACTGCAGTGATCCCTATAAAAACGGGAATTACATAATACGATATCAAGATCGGCAGTTTATCGTGCAGACTGTAATAAAAGGATTGTAACAATGTCCGATCGTATCAGACGTTTAATTTCAATTGCTGATGTTCAATAATTTGTAATAAAATTAGAAGTAACAACACTTTGATAGGATGTCTTACTAATTACTATATTTTTATTGTATTCTCATTCTGTATATAGTGACTCGATTAATACGAACAAGATTTCAAAATTGTAGCTGTTGCTATTGGATTGCAATTTGACGCGAAACCTCGCACGAGTGATCGATATTTTAGTAGAGGGAGATAAAAGCTTTGAAACCATTAACACACTATTAATACCTAAGCATGCCTTTGAAAATTGTAAACTCACCGATAGCGATTACAACTTGACTTTTCGGAGACGTGTAAGAAGGTCTCTTTATACTTTTTGTTCCTTGATTGAAGATGCGCGATATCCGATTTGTCTTAGTTAGTATCGCGCTGTAGCAAATGCTCAGGCACAAGCCGAGGCCGATTCTCAAATACGTGCAGTTCCACGTAGTTGGCTTGCTTAATATCACGAAACTCATACCGTAACAGGATAGAATTCCTACTAACAGTACGTAACACAATTCGCGTCCAGATGCCATAATTACTGGAGTACGATTGAAACTGAAATGTGATTGGTCAATTAATATTAATAAAATGGATTAAGAATCAAAATTCTACAGGCATGTAAACGTACCGAATGAAGACAACAGTTGTGAATAGTGTGCTAAGTATGCCAATGGATGCAAATATTAATGGTACCAATGCCCATGGGCTGGTCCATGGAATAACTTCCGCTGTTAGTTTGATGCAACTTGTCATTGTCTTATCCGGTGCATATCCTGGACCGCAGCTGCGACAAGTGTCGTTGAAAACGAACGCGTCTTCGCGACATGCCACACAGCTCCAGCAACATGCTTCCTGAAAGTATCATTGTTACATTAAAGAAAGATATGGAAATTCTTGGAATATCTATTACTAGAATGCGGACTTTTATGAATTAGAGAAATCGAAATTTATTTCATTCAATAAAAATTATAATAAGTAGATACTTTATTTTAGTTATTTTATAAATTTATGCATCTTTAAGTTTGCTGCAAAAATACATAAAAATCAGATTATTTAATATCTGTATTTTAATGCAGTAAAAATTCATTTATTTTGAATTTATCGAGAGACAAGACGTTTATATAATAAAGAACCAATTTTCGCCACCATCTGTTATTTTTCATTTACAAGTTACCCTAAGTGGATTCCATTAATAAAAGTTCAGTTAATTTGTTAATAAAATTTCGTTCCAATAAATGAAGTTTTACGGTAGTTAAAATATTTGCATTTTCCATATATAACGTTTAAATTCAAATGAAAATATTTCATTTTAGATTTTTTCAGCTTATTTTTGTATGCGAGTAATTTTCTGTTCTTCTGTACCATCCTCTGTTTTATCACACTCAAATGAAGAGTTTAATAGTTGATAAACGCCGATGGTAATAACTAGTGTGAATACAGACTTAAGAAATAAAAGATTTAAAATACGAAGATTTAAAATACTTTCCTAGGAGAAGAGGAGAAACGGGAACATGCAATTACGTAAGAGAATAAAATTAGGACATGTAATTAAATTCTTGTACAACTGAAGTAGAAAAATTACGAAAAATTCAGTACATATAAAACAGACTATATTTGAAGTAATAGTTTTAAATTTGAAGTAATATTTTTAGCTTATACTTGTGTTATTTAAAAGTGATAAAATGTTGCAACAGTTTATACATAATATTTTATTAAATATAATTTAATATGAGTAATATGTAAAGTTAAATATTCGTTATACATATAAGATAATCTTTAATGTTTAAAAGAATAGATGAAAAATATTAAATTGAATATATTTACCTGAAAATTGCGTACATGACCTAAGGGACAATTGTCGCTGCATAAACTTCGAGGAATATGCATTTCTCCAGGTCCTGCTGTCCATCTTGTCATGTTAATATTAAGATCCAGTCTATGAATAAAAGTTGTGAAATAGACATATAACTAATAATAGAAAAATAATATTTATTTTCATATATTTATTACTGAATGAAATTCTATCTGATAATTTATATGAAAGACTCAAAATTTCGTGTTGACTCTTTAAAAATATTAAAAACGATTATTTTCTTTTATTATAAAAATTTCTGCATTTCTGCTATCCAATGTGTATTTTCAACTTTTTATAAGAAATATATATCAATAATTGCATTACTTGTTATAAAATTTATAGTTGCTATATTTGATGACGTGTGAAAAAGTGAGAAAATTTTTATAATGATAATGCTTCACTTACTCCTCTTTCCATGAGCCGATAAGCACATAATCAAAACGGCCATCTTCTTTCTTTTGATACTGATAGATATTGTAAAATCCATACGCATCACCGTCAGATTTAAATTTAATTTCAGTACCCTGACGACCTAAATGTTATTTCAACAAAGTACGAATTAATTACAAGGAAGAGAACAGTAATTAAATAATTTTCAATGATTATTGTTTTAATTAAACTAATCGACGTAATATTTTTTTATATTCATTGTTGAATTAATAAATAATTAAATTATGATCATTTTCATAAAGTATCGGATTTTTATAAAAAAATATATCCCTTTATGAAAAGTAAAAATTGTAAAGAAGCTTCAATATTTCTTCTCACTTTTTTCTGAAGTAATGATTCATCCGATTCGAGTACTGTTCTTTGCTCATTTTCATTTAATCACTCGGGCCATTTTATCGGGCCTGATAATTAGGAGAAACGATATAATCGGTATCACAAAGTCTTTTTCAATCGATTTAACAGAACGCTCCATTTTATATGTTCTAATAAGACTGAAGATAAAAGAACAGTAAACAAATTGATCTATAAAATATTTTCAAATGTAAATTGAGTAATCAATAATTCTACAATCTTGGTCAATTTTAAATTGATTTTAAATTGAGACTTTCACAATCGTAATTAATCGTAAAAATACTGTTAATTAAAGATTTTAGAGAAGATCGTAAAGGCAGTAGATACTTACCGATGAAACTAACATTCCGAATGTGCTGAAGAAGTTGCTGACCGTCTGGTGCTGGACGAAGGTCTTCGCACAAATGATGACTAGTATTGGCAATGTTCATGCATTCTTCGTTTATCAAGTTATGAACACCGTATGCCATCGCATAAACTGCATCAACTAAAACCAATTACACATAATATTATAGTATTTCTCGAACTTACAAAAGATTTCAAGTTAAAATTTTGTTAATTTAATTTTCAGATTGATTTAACTAAGTTCTGAAAATCATAGAGCAGAGGTATCTCTTACCGACAAATGGCACCAATCCTTCTTGCTCGTAATCAATCAATTCCTCCTCGCCGGTACAGGCTGTTGTGGCAACTGATGAATTTGTACCGAAACTGCATTTATGATGCTGGGACCAAAATTCTCGGAACCATACATTCCGACAATTCACTATTTTCCCGGGCAAGTTTTTATGCGGCACATTATCCTCAGTTTGGCCGTCGCATTCGTTGTCCATTCTTGGTCGAAGATTTAAATAATACTCGTCGAAATCTAAAGATAATACTTGTTTTAAAGCACCAAATGCAATATGTTCCTTTTTTATTTAGAATTCTCGATTTCTTCTAGAAAGCGTGTTTTATCAATTTTCTGAAAATTCTTACGTTTGGTAAAGGGTAAACTTGATATGTTGTGCAGCTAATTGAAACCCAGTTCTACGTCACGTGGACCTACTGTTAGACTTCTAATATCGAAGTTCATCGAGGAAAAGTGAAGCTTTCAGTGCGCATGTCTAACAAAGCAAAATAGGAGAAAAGAAAGAAGGCGGATGCACCGACCTTCCATGCCACCAACTCGCATAAGTAATTAATATCTTCGGTTAGGATACTTTTCTTTGATTCAGCTCATTAACCTAATTCGTTACTATCGCGGATATTTGAAGGTACACATTTTGTCTTGCGGATCCGTTCGCAATTCGTTTCTTCTAATCATGTATCTATTTTTCTTCTATCTTTCTATTCGTTTCTGCTTAGAGTAGACGAAGAATTTAACACAAGTTGAAGTTTCTTGTAATCACATGATCATAATTTTTGTGCTCCATTTACCTCTATCTCCTCACAGTACGTGAACAGTATTTTCTCGTTTATTTTCTCAATGTAACTCTCGTATAAAATTCGTAAGAGCTTTAAAAACACGCGTTGAAAGGGCGAGTGAAATCAAAACGAGTATTTTTGGCGAAGGGATTATAATCAGCTTACCCTCGAGGGATGTTCTAAAAGGCAAGATTGTGATTGCACTTTCCGCCGCGAATTCTTGTTCTCTCACTGGATATACCTTAGCACCCCATGAATCACTGCCTATCCACATGAAATGGCCTGTACGATTGGCTCTAACAGTTGCCTGTAGAAGTTTCCTGCGAATAATCAATTGATTTCCTTTCGAATGAGGAACGAGAGAGAATTGTTATTCAACGTGAGAGAGAATTGGCAATATATAATTTTGTTTGAATTGATATCTCGCTTTACCCTCATTTCTAACTACTCATCAAGTCTAAACATTAAATTTGTACATTCATTATAATAATACAAATTGCATCAAGAATAGATAAATGATGCAGTTCACAAACTTTCGCGCATTGTCAAACAATGTTAAAAGTTTGAAATAATATAAATGAGGGAAGCAACGCGAATTGTGAGAAAATAGTTCAAATGCTGGTAGACGACAAACTCTGTAAATTGTTGTATACGCGTGTTGCTCTAACAGCATTGAGTGAACTCTCGACACATTTAATAAAAGACACGGTTGACGTTAGACCAGCTAATAGAAGTGAAGAGAAGTGATTAATGACCTGCTTGGAAATGGCGTGCAAAAACAGTCGAGTTGGAGGGAAAGGAGAGTAAAAAGCTGCTAGATTTTTACCTTATGTTATCTTCATCGACGAATAATACCACACCTCTGGCATTGTGTTTCGAGCTGAGTCGTTCGACAATTTTATCGAAATCTTCGGTTTTCGAGTTCCTCAGGATCTTCTCGCTCACTGCCACGCAGACACCGTATTCCGTCGACAATGAGATAAAACTGGCAATGCCCTGTTAAGACAAACAACAGATAATTGACCAACAGACAATTGAATCGCAATGATTTTCATTCAGCTGTCATTGCGTTTAAAGATATTTTTACAAAAGGGGTCTTTTCATTGTTAGCCGCAAGTGCTGTTAAAGCAGTTAGATTTATGGCGAGAACTTTCGACAAGTCCATTGTTGAGAATGCATTAATTAAAACTTTTATAATCGGCCATAAAAGCCGGACATTAGAGATTATGAGAGTGAAGGGTCGTAGATCAAGGAATTAGAGATAACAGGGTGAGCAATAAAAAAAAATTTACACTCAGGAACAATAAAATTCTTTACAATTCTTTACAGAGCTATTAGTTTGTCACGTTGTATACAATGGATGATACCAAATGGGGAAAATTAATGCACAGTTTGTAGAATATTAAGTTAAACGAATGTTATCTTGATTAATAAACTGGGGATTTTCATTAAAACACAGATGATATGAAGAAGATGTATGCGCACATCTCAAGTATAATATTTAAACGGTTAAGCAAATTTCTTTTAAGCTCAATTCGCATAAATATCCATAACCTACTGATTCATGTGGGAGAGACTCGCAGAAGCTAAAGTTAAATGTATATAAAAATGATTCTTTACATAAAATGCAAGTAGTTTTAACCTGATGAGAGCTATAAGCGTTTATAAATGCACGGTACATAGAGCAGACTATTCCAGGCCATTATCCTAGAGGAAATGCAAGTGAGGATAAGAATAATTAGAGAGAAAGAAAGAGAGAAAAAGAAAGAAAAAATGGAATTGTTGATACGCGTGAAGAATGTATATATATATATATATATATATATAATTACCTTCTCTCCGTAATCACCTTCAACTGCAACCGTAGACACGTATTTCCAACCGAGTTGATGAATGATTTCCACCATGGCTTGAGCTTGAAAATTATCTGGTGGCACCACTCTGCTAAAATATTCGAAGCGACTTTTATCCGACAGTTCTGTGCTCGTCGATGCGTAGCTTATTTGCGGTATCTGCAATCGATGTAATAATCTCTCTTTACATATCCCCTTGAAGTTTCTTTTTTTAATTTCCAGGAGGGAACAGGGATATTTAAAATAGTAATGGAATTCGTTCCTTTCCACGCAGAAGACGCAAGCAAGGCGCTCCGATTGTGAGTTTAAAAGAGTGAATTTTCCACGTGAATTACAAAATTGAAATTTATGAGTACAAAAAAAGAAAAAGAAAACTGTCTGAAACAAGCTCCAACATATTTTACATTTTGCGTACGCATTTTCATCGCGTTGCAAATGATAAAAAAATGATGGGAAGTGTGAAACGAATAGTTTCTAACTTCTTCCGTATAAGTGCTTCAAAAGCGATTAATTAACTTACTGAGTTCGCGTCAGCACCCGAAACGGACGGACAAGAAACAAAGCCGCAAATGACGCGCTGCATTTAAACGATCTAGTCCGACAAACACAACAGTTAATTAAATTAACACTTGGCAAATTGCGATGCAGAAGTTAACGTGCGTTTAATAGTTGCCCAATAGTTTTGCCTGGCAGTTTTATATTACAGTTACTTCGGCAACAATTTCAATATCACGCCGTAGATACGCTTGCAATTAGAACAAACAAATTTCGTCGGGAAACGATTCAACAGCCAGCACGAACTTGAGGATCCATTCTTGGGGAATCTGCATTGAAAAAATTTTCTCACGCAGCTTTGAAGCTCGAAATCTTTTGACATGTATGACTTTATGTAATGTAAATGCGTTCGAAGCCATGCAGTGAGAGATACGCGATGCATATAAATGGAGGCGGATGGGTTGAATAGTATTAAAATGAACGGGGAAATGCAAAACAGGCCTCACTGATTTGTTCGAACATCTCTTTCCTCTGTGAGTCTAAATACGTGCTTGAATATCCGAGCGTATTTTTACATGTAATCGTATAACTCCGATCAATTGAAGCCTCGTGTATCGAATATTTAAATTTTTCATGTTTCAGGACAAAAGATCAAAGTGCCAAGCGATGGGAAATCTGTCTACTATTTTAATGGACAATGGCAACAAAAGTATTCCTTATATTCCAATAGATAATAATATTCTTTTATTAGATTTTACATGTTATTTTCATAGTATCCGTAACACCTTGGACAGTAAAAATATAATAAAAATATCTGCAAGTATATTTTTCCTTTCAATTATTACTTGTATACCAGAATAATTTAAAAAAGAAATTTACTGGTTATTGCCTGCAACAACGCACTAATGTATTTACTTTTAATTGTATTTACTATCAATGTTTATTCATTTGTTTTTAATATTTGTAAATTTTTAATATCAATTACTGTATATTAGAATAATAATCGAACAAGTTGAAACATTTAACAATCTAATAAATCTAACAAAAGAATTTGTTGCCAAGTAGAAAGAGAAACATATTACAAGTGATACGAAATCTAATTTTAATCAATTAATTAACATGTAAATGTTACAATAAATACAGTGACATGTACATGTCGTTTCAGTTTCAGTGAATTTTTAATTTCAGTGAAAACGGCTTTCAAATACAATACCTTGAACAATCGGAGAATATTGGCTACCATAATGGAGACTACGCTGAAGGAAGCTCCTATAACGCCGGTGACAGGTTTATGGGGCACATATATCGGTGGTTTGTCATTTTCGCATTTGTATTCCGATATATCCTGCAAATATGAATAAAAGAAAAATCACGTCGCGTTTGTATCGTATCTATTCTACTTGTCAATCAGATTTGCTTTATATAGTCGCCTTGAATTGAAACCGACACTGCAGAAACAGCGTATCTTAAGTGGAAACCATTCAACGAACAACTCGTACCGAGATAGTTTATTGTATCCAGTATGGTATAATAGAATTAGTACAATTTTGTCATTTGTTTGCTAATTGTTAACTTTTATTTTTTTCAGTATTAGAGTTCAGTCTATTTTATTTAAAAAATATACTTCATTTAACTGAAAATTACTGAAATAAAAATGCAATCTTCGTGTCATGGTTGGACCAGTTCTTGAAAAAGCATGTATTTTATATTTTCTCATATAATGATCGATTTTTAATCTTATAGAAAAGCATGAGAGAAGTGTCCGTAGCACAACTGAAAAATAATTATAAAGAAGATGCAGTCAAATTGCAAGTATGAAGTAAAATTTCTTCGCGTACATTTTGCTACGGGAAGTCAAATGTTGAAAACACATTACACGCGTAAACAATTTAACAAAATCTTAATTTTCATAATGTGAATTTAATATTTAAACACTGATTACCAACAATCATCGTTGGGACAGAAAATATGACGCCCAGATAATTTATAGCTTATTTCGAAGGCAGAGTTATTGAACGATACAGCATTCAGTTGAACGATTCTGTTTATTGGTTTGTTTATCGACGATCACCATTCAACATGAAATTATTATCCTGCATTCGGAATAGCGATTGATCCTTTATTGGTCACTATCAGTTTACGGGTGAAGTTTATCTAATTCGAGAGATATTTATTCATCTGACAATACTTATTATAGAGTGTAAATCATTATTAAAAGTAATTAACTGAAGGCACGTTATAAATTTTGCAAGTAGCAAATTTGACTTGTTCTATAAAACTCCTGCCGATATTAAAGATAAAATCCAAGTGATTTATTATAGCTAATGATTCGACAATAAATCAGTTCGAGTTAACAGCAAGTGTTAAATTAATGTGAAACATTCGTTAAACTTAACAAACTGAATTATTACTTTTTTATTTTTGTTATTCGGAATAATTATATCAATGTGATTCATATTTTGAAATAAAAATGCAGCAGATAATAAAAATTATTTAAAGTCGTACAATATCGTTATAATTATTTCATCATCAATATTTCTCGTTAGTTACGAGTCTGATCGATATTACGACCTGTACTACTTGCAGCGTATAACGCCATTACATGTAATATGCAACACCATTACAATTATAATTTCCAAAAATACAGCACTGCAATAGAATCACAATTTTTAATATAAAGATAATATAGATAAGATGGATTCAAGTCGGTCGGTGAAAGGTTGGCTACGAGTCTGGCCAATGCTAGACCTATACTACTTATACGTAGTACTAGCGTCCGTCATGCTTGAAACGGACGGGAGATGACAGAGTATCGATTCTAAATTTTCTACTTCGCGTCAGATACCAAAGAAATAGTGGTCTCTCCAAAGGCCATATCTGCATCAGATATATTATCCTTTATATTATCTATCTGCATCTACATGGGTGTAACAGATCTTCTAAATTATTTTCGCTTGGCTAACAGTTAACTAAATGACATCGCGTAATGATGTTTCTTCTGTGTTCTCTTAGAAAGTAAATTAAAGACGCGGTCTTCGTTCTAAAGTTTCGCCGCGAGGTTAAGTAAGTTCGTAAATTACTCGCATCATTCGTAGGTCTTAGAAAAGTTGTTATATTTGCTTATATTAAAATGAAGTTTAATTTGGTACCGAACGATATTTAACTAAAGTTCATAATCACTAATAGGAGAAGAGAGTTCAACTTAAAGTTTACAATCTATATATACTCGTTCGTGATCGACATTAATAATCGCTTAGGCAATGTTGATTCTTTAGGATAGATATTGTCATCTTGATCAGTAGTTGGAGGGAAATTAATAGCGGACAGTTTGTTTCCTTCGTTCCCCGTTGTCATTACCCGGTATCTTATTAAAATCCATTAGATTGCAAGGGGCAATTTGTCACGGTAATTTTCAATGATATTTATTGGTTAATTGATATCGTTTTCAAACGCGATGCATCACGTGGAATTTATTACAGAGAGAGGATTTCGAAAGTTGAGCGGAGTGAAATTGATAAATCTGCTCTATTAATTCTTGGTGTTAGAGATGGGTAAAGATTAATCTACTGCCTTGAAGGCATACTCAAGCTTGATAAGATAATCTCGGAAAATACGTGATTTTACATAATTTCGAACGTGCAATTTACATTATTTTACATATCTCTTTCACCAACTCTAATTTTTTCTTTTTTCCTTCTTCATTGTTTCTATTTACGAAGGAATTACTCGCATTCGAGTTTAATTTGAAATAAACGAATCAAGAGAAAAACGAAAAACAAACGTTGTAACACGTTGAATTACCGTGGATATTAAAATGTTCACATTCTTTTAAAACAATTTCCCAGAATTGGAAACGGTCTCCTATGGCAAATTCCACAAAGGAATGTTCAACGTTCTCCATCGAAGAAGAATTTCACTTATATAACTATGGCTTCGACGAGTAGTCCAGCGATAAAGCTGTGCGTAAAATGATTTCTCAGAGAGAGCTGAAAGCGCACGCAATCGTGCACGAACAAGATTTATAAGGGCCGTTATGATTATTCACAACAGAGAGAAAGGTAAAACGAAGAAATATTTCAATATAACTATTTCTTAATAAAAGTAGCAGCGATAAGTAAAAAATTGAAAAACAAAAATACAATCCTTATATTATCTAGAAAATCTACTTTTTTTTCAGACAATTCACACACAAAGTGAAAAGCTCAAAAGTCTTGGGATACGTTTTATTTTTATTGTTTAGTCGTAGATAACAGAAGTTCAAAATTGCTAACAATAGAATTGTTAATGTATCAACACTTTGGAAAAATGAAAAAAATGTTTCACGAACTTGTTTCACAAATTTGTAAAGTTTCGAGCTCGTCCTATAATTTTTGGACTATCTTCGCGTACCACGTTTTATCAATTGTTTTAGAAATATTCCACAAATGTATAAAAAAATCCTGTTCTAATATTAAAATATGAAAATATACGACGTATCGACTTACTTGATTCATGTAAGATCTAACGAACTCCATACTTTGGTCAAGTGCGTAAGTGTCGCTGCTGCAGGAGTCGAGGATAAGTGCGCCTAACGTGGTGTTTGGCAGTAACTCTCTGTCCGAGTTTATTTCGTCGAGGGCGTACAACATAGCTTCCAAACGTTGCATTCCCTTTTCTTCTTTCACTGCGCCGCATGGCGATTGACCGATGGAGCTTGACACCTATGAATAAAAATATGACTATGAATAAAATCCATGGGCAATGTGATAGACTCGTAACGGTCCTCTAGAGAGGAATCTGACAAAAGTTCGCTCAATTGTGCTACTTGTATCCTAGACGTAATTTACAAGTCGCAGATCGCGCATACTTCGTGAAAAAAAGAGGTTAAAAAGGATCTACATTCCGGCGAGAATATTCTGTCACGCGGTTGTAAGTAATTCCGTTTCTAAGTTTAGAATTTTCGTGAATCACTGACAGGCTACATTTTCACGCAATGTTGAAAAATTCTCTTTCGGATGACGGATATTTGAATATTCTCTTTAATGCTTCCCGCAAAAAGTATTCCAATTTTTATTCGAGGGATATTTATTCGAGAGATATTGCAAATAGTACAAACACACGTGATCGTTATTAAATTACAACTTTTTATTTGTTCAGCGAAAAAATCGTGTATTTCTCTCTTTTCATTTCCGTTTATGAGTGATAACTGAAAAAGAAAAAAAAAAAAATAAAAGAACTCCAATATCTCTGGTTTTCATGTTTTATAATTTATCAATTACACGTTTATTTCTCACGAGCCACGCCAACTTGATAATACTCTTTAAAATATCAGGGTTTATTGATCCTACATTTTAATTCAGATTCTGTAAAATCGGGATTTCACGCTCGCAACCATCATAATTCTTTTCATTGAAAAGTTTCGTTGTAATTCTATATTTCATGTGTAGGATAATTGCTCTGTTGCGAAACAAATGGATCCTAAAGGCTCGTTCTTTTTTCTTTTTTGTTTTTTTTTGTCAGTGGACTTTTCCCTCTGTTTGTGTTAACGTGGCTTTTATAAATTGCAGATTGTCTACGATAACCGACGACAAACAGCCAGGTACTAACATAAATCCACTTCGATGTAAATCCAACGGTTGCAATAATTTGACGACGAATTTAAGCTTTCGGCTACCTTTACGTTTCTTCTTGTTGTTCGAATGAAATTGAAATTTTTCCGGCTTGATATTTAAACAAGAAATTTGCTATTGTTTCTATTTACGAGTTGCACAGGGAGGAAGAAGAGAGAGAGAGAGAGAGATCGTAAGGTGATATTTTCGAAAATAAAGCTGCGCTTTCTGGCGAAAAATATTTCTGAAAAATTCAAAGGTGCGGAAATTTACAGAATGCGCCCGTCACGAGGAAATATGTAGAATATACCGACTACCCGAAGTGAAATATTCGTTGTAATATTCAGCAGAAGTATTCGTTGCGAAATATTTAGGCGAAGGAAATTTCTATTTAAATTCTGTTTTTTTTTTTTTTTTGGTTACTATGATACTTTCGGCTTTTCTCGATTTTTATCTTTTCGTTGAACTATGACGTTAATTAACAGCCAGATGAAATTCTTGAAATTCTTTTTTTTTCACACTCACGGTCCTCCGTTCATCTCTGTTCTTTATCTCTAAAACCATTCAACTCGCCACGCTGCTGTAAATAAATTTATACAAAGCCGCGCGGTTCGTGTAAAAAATAAATTTGTTAAAATTATTTTCCGCGAAATTTTCCTCCTTTATCCGTATTTCCGCTCTTTAAAATTGTTTTTAGAACCGTTCCTCTCGCTTCTTGCGAATCACTGTACTTTCTTAGTAATCATTGCCAGCCCGATACCTCCGCAAACAAATTTCCATCCCCACGGATAAAAATACAGGATTCAAGTTACAATTATGCACGAGAGATTAAACAATCTTTTGCCACTTCTTTGCACTCGTATCAGCGCAATCCTACCTCACCGTAATTCTCTGTGGGCGTGATCTTAGACGGTCTTCTGTAGTTTCATTTCTTTTCGGATGATTTACCATCTTCGGCCAACTCTCTGCGGAGATATTAAAATCTGACGCGATTCTCGCCAGCGTGTCTTTTTTTCCCATCCGTCTATTAAATATGCATCGTTACTATCGATTTTCATCGATAGTCTTTTCTCTTTCTCTCTCTCTCTCTCTCTCTCTTTCTTTTTTTTAAACACGAGCATACAAATTTGGAAATAAAGTAAATATTCGTGGAATTTTTATTGCACGATCTCCGACGAGGTGGAAATGACAGAAATAAAACAGTAAAATTACTCGACAGAGAGCTCTCGCTTTCGGTATCGTTCAACAATCGGTGTTCATCGACTGTGACTATTGAATTAACTCGGCCGTGTATCTATGTTGCACGGAATGTCCCAAATTTTGGAAACTCTATACTCGACTCTCTATATATACATAAACGAGAATGAAATATTGTACAAGCAGAGCTCGTACGAAACAGTCGTAGCAAAAACATCAGTTGCAGCAAAAATAATGAAATATAAATTGAATAATTACAACGTAAAGAATAAAATAAATTTCGAAGCGAACCGACTTTATTCCAAAGATGATAAAGTTCGATCTACGATTGGTAACCAACCTATCGTAGTGTTCAATGCATCTGTAAACGATTGATTAAGAAATATATACTCATCTCTTTCAATTTTACACGATTAATCCTTCATGCGTGGAAAATGAAAACTAAAAAAAAAAAGCAAGTTCGTATATATGAAACAAATATTAATATCTGTGGATTGATTGAAGTTAAAATGAATTTTATAGAAAGATCAGTCCAATATTTTATCACTCCTCGAAATAAAATATTCCGGAGTAAAATATTTACAGGCAGCGTAGTGACCGTGCTCTGTATTATCGTATTTTTATTACAAATTTTGCAACGAGGTTGCAAAATGATCTGTATTTATGCAACATTCTCCTGCTACTTGGAACACCCAGAGGAAGTTTGTTTTTCAGAGGAAACTTGGAACACTGTTTCTCGAATATTTTTCCTCCTTTCATTTTCTTTTTGCTTCCATATATTCAAATGAACGCAGACATCTTCAAGATACATTGGACCGCGTTGCCACTGTTACAACGGGAGAATCTAAATTAGCATTACTCCGAGATACACGTGGCTTAATTCCAGCTGTTAACGTGCATGCATGTACATCGTAAACAATTAGGCACAGCGTCCAAACGAGAATGTGCTTGACGAAAGTCCTGCGAACTGGGAAAGTTTCGTTAAACAGCGAAAGGAACAGTTTGGCAGCTTTTCCTCGTTAGCTCAGATAACACAGATTTGATTATCAGAGCTCATTTATGCTTACAAAGCGGCGAAATTGCCGTCACGTATTTTCTTCTTTCATTGTATCGTTGGAATAACTTCGCGGAAGCGTTAAATCTTAAAACGCAAAACGAAGCGACAATAAAAGGGCGGAGAACAAGACGAGGAGGATAAGTATTTAATTGCTCGGTCTCGATTTGTATTTAATCGGCTATATTTTATTAGAATTTAGAATCGACCTATGTCGATTTCAAGTTTTAATATGATAATTCGAAATAAATATCTACCTTCACCTTTGTTATACTATTATTAATCGTTATACTTTGATCTCACTACTGAATAATTTTTGCTAAATTTCTTGGTGGATATTAAGAAAAGATATTCAAATGGGATATAAAATTTTTATTATACGTATATCTGTAGGATAAGAGGATATAAAATTTTAACGAGGATATAACATTTTTGCTACATACGTGCGACGCTCTTCCAGGTAAATTCCATGAATACATTTCAAAAGTAATAAATGGCCTGAAAATCGGATTGAAGGGCAAAATTGTTGAATAGTATTTTTAATATTTGTCACTGGTAAAAGAGACGCGCAAAGTGACAGCAAATATCCTAATAACAATCTGAGAACGAGCGTAACGTTACGAATATCGTCTTTATTGCCCGATGTTTGTTATCTCGAGATAAATTCCACATTTCTTGCACAAATGGATTCGTCCGTCAAAGAAAAGCCAACTTTAGAAAATCCAATCGTCTATCTGACCTATTTTTAGTAAGCGAAGAAAACTTAAATGCACGCCTGTCGTGATTTATGTAAGTACGTACACGTTTCTTTCTCTTCACATTGGGTCAGTTCGTGCGCATTTCTATACATCTATGAAAAACACGTGATCCGTGAAAATCATGTCACCAAGACGGAGGTGAAGAGCCTTAAGATGGCAAGGAATGCACACGGGTACGCGCGTTGAAGACTGAGACAAAGGTTAATTAATTATAATGACAATTACATTAAATTTCTAGATCAACTGGATCGAACGGGAAACACAAAAATAGAAAGAATCATTATTTAATTATTAATATTTCCAAGAATGTAATTTGGATTTAATTATTATTTACGTTAATAACACATTCCGTCGATGATCCAACGTGACTTTTCCCGTGTGTTATTTCAATTAAAATTACGTATCATTTAAAAGAAAGTCTCGATTACGTGACTGGTCAATTTGACAAAGAATTTATCAGAATCTGCGAGCCTTAATATTTTCTTCGTGAGATTTCTAATGTTCCTAATATCGAAAAGACAAAAGATACATTCTGCAACGTTTACTTGCTTATTGAATAAAGAGAGCCTAAGTTACTAATACTACGAGGTAATATCGTATTAACGTCAAACGGAAATCGTATAAAATGGAACAACCGATACCATTTCGTGACTCGGTGCATTCACATAAATATTAAGTTAGGAAAGAAAAATGCATTTTACGTTCAACTCCCTCTGGAACTTCTGCGAAACACGCCAGCTCCACTCTATCGATACGTTAGGGGTGAAAAAAGGAACAGAGTCCAATATTTCCGGTTACATAAAAGAACCACGCTGAATAAAACGCTCCATCGATCAGTATTACATTTCCAGTAGGACATCATCTTGTCTCATTAATTCAAACTTATTTTTCAATTGCAGACTAACTGATGTAACTTTTGCTTCAATACGTGATGCAAACAAACACTCTGACTCCTATTGATGTTCGGACCATGAACAACTGTTATAATTGCAATGACACAGTAACAAATTTGGACTAATTTTACAGCTCCTATTTTTGAAATACATCGTTCGTTTTATTCTAAAATGTTTTTATTTGTTACGTAGCACAAACACATCTTGGAATAAAATGAACGGTGTGTTTTGAAAGCAGAGGCTTCAAGCTTTAAAGCTTTTAATTTCTTTTTACAAAATTAGAACTGTAATCAATATTCAGCGTTCGAGTACTAACGGAAGTCGCTTGTTAATTGCAAAACTTCCATCGAGATATTGTCGATTTTTTAAATTATCATTCGTGAAGAAAATTACTCGGATTAATCTTGGGACATAACATAATAGCACTGAAACGGCAAAAGTATCAATATTTCATTCGTGACATTCTGATTCACAGAAATAGTAAAATTTTAATAAACAAAATAAGGCAACACGGTGGAAGAAATTTTAAATTAAAGGCATTAAATTATTGCAAAGAGTATTAATTGACAATGACTCGAGTGGCGAAGAGGAATTTTTTTTCAACTCTAGTCGAGTCGTTTGATTTCGTAAAATTTCCGCTTTGATTCTCGGCGTGTCGCTTGTTAGTGTGAAAGCGTCTTCGCGGGAAATTAAGTTACAAAGGTGAAAGTCGAGGCTTCCTCCTTCGAAACGTATCCAGGCGAATTATTGTATGATTCTTCTTCGCCAAGTAGTAACAGTTCGGCAACTTCTCCCTCGAAAATCTGTCGAGTGTCACGATTTCAGATAAAATAAATTCGGAGAACGTCGTCCCACTATTGCCCTGTATCTCTATTGTTGGTATTGAAAAGTCCAGTTGATTACATCAAATATTTGATATAACAGAAACAGCGAAACGCAGGCGATATCTAAATTTATCCGAGACTATTTTTTCAGGATGTTTTACGAGCCTTCTTCCAAAAAAATTCCTCGAGAAATAAATTCTCTTCAATAGTCTTTGTAAAACGTTCGAGTGCTCAATGTTTCATCGTTGGAAGAGTTTTGTAAAGCTTGGAATAAATGAAGTAGTGAATGGAGCGAATGGTATTAAATATTTTAGATAAATAACGTTCGGTGTTTTTTATTTGTCTTTCATCGATGCACGATTCGCAACGTGTTAGAAAGAGCGAAGTCCGTGAAAGAATAATAACTAATTCCGAATGTTTCTCTTTCCGACTGCGAGCAATATTTATTTGGAAATATTTCAATATATTTTATAAAAAGATTTATAACAAATAATTCGCTTTCAAGAGATGACGTCTGTAATATCCACTATTATGAAATCAATGTAGCAATTTTTGTGAATTGTATAATATAATTTTAAATTATATGATAGTTTACGAATAATAAAGTTTGTAAACTAAATACAACGATATACAAATTTCCGCTACAATATATGTATGTACATTAATTATCAAGAAATAAACCTTATGGTTGAAAATGATGTGAATAAAAATGATTAAATAAAAGTGATTGCTTGCACTTCAACAAGCGAGTTTAAACATTCCACGGACTAGTTTTCTGATTTGAATAACATTCAGTGTCAGATATTTTGCGCTTGAAAGAAGTTAAAAAATTTGTGTCGCGAAATACATATTCGGATCACGTTCCGGGGAGAAACGTATTTAAACGACGAAAAACGTTTCGCTCTGGAGTCTAGTTTTATGAAAACATTAATGTCTCGTCTGTGTAATAGAATTTTTCCAACTTCCTTTTCAATAATATTGTACAATGTTTTCTTTTTAATGAAACGTTTCAACATATATGTTTCTCTCTTGTTTAAAAAATCCTCAATTTTTCTTCACAGAGATAACTGATTTCGATATTTAATAACACGATAATGCGCGAGAGCTTACGTATACAAACAAATATGATAATAAAACAAAATGCATTGGTAAATTCAAGCATTAATATCAATATCATATAAATTGAACTCTATGACTGAGTAAATGGATCGAAATAGAATTTACTTTGATATTAATTTAAAAAAATAATAACATAATTCAACATTGAAATTCAAATCACAATAGTGTTTCACTTACTGCCGGAAATTCGCAACACTTTATCACTGTTTAATATTAAATCTGTCAGTCCAAATTAATCCGAATTTTACTCGTGAAACGCGAAGTTGAGAATTTATTTTTGCAACAATCGTGCTACTGAGAGTAGCTTAATAATTTTATATCGTGTTGCATTATATTTAAAATATAACGTATTAATAAAAAAATTAAAAATTGATCAATGACCGAGAGAAAAATAATTAATTAATCGGAAAGAAACACTACGAACTCGCGACTCGTGGAATTTTAAACCAACGACACTGGCTCGATTACGCAGGTCTAAAACGAAGCGTCGTTTTTTTTCTTCTGAAATTTTATTTTATTTTTGAGTTTCACGTTTCAGAAGTGAGACTGTTACGTAATTTCCGAAGTTAGCGCAAGTTGGTTAAGTGGCTTAATTCCTTTCCGTCGAACTTCGTAATCAAATTTCGGCGACACAATGAAAGTTGCCACTGCTATAGAATTTTGCTTTCGTACGTCGTCAATTTAAGACGATTCGTTCTACGCACAGTGAACAATCGAAATGTACCTGCTCGTGCATTGGAAAGATCCCGCCAAGAATCACGTCACCGTTGATACGTATTAACTTGGAGCCATCCTCGTCACGTCCCTTTCGAATGTGGCACTCGCTCACGATCATAGAATACGATATCCATGTTAAAATTTTCCCCACGCTCATCTTGTTCAATATCTGAAACGTAAAAATTGAAGAATCATTTACTTTCGTTTCAACCTGGCTAACCCATAACGCATAAGCACGTTCGTACAAATTTTCGATCTTTGTACGTGTTTGAAAGTTTGACGAAACATCTTTTTCCTTTAACGTTTGTTACTTTAAATTAATACGCTAATTTAAATTAATTTAAATTATTACAATTATTATTGGGAATGCACGTAACATGCAAAAATATATAAAGTGTAATACTCAGGAGTGACACAAGTTTTTATTCAGTAATTTTTATAAAGATACAAAAATACTCGCAGTTCAATTATCAGCGCACGTTTAAATAAAATTATCGATTTTAGGCTATTTCACGTTACTATTCTCCCTCTTGTTTCACAAGAGTAGTTTTACATATTTTTAACATTCTTGTTACGACGTCTCTAATTATTTTGTAATAGCTTCTCTGTACTTGCTTCTCTATTCAGTTCAGTGGTATGATATATTTCAAGTATCCTTTACAAGTGTTTCGAATTATACTTGGTCTCGTTATTTTGTTCTAGATAACGTAGCATTATGGTATCCATGTTCTTTTCAAATATTTATCCATGGTGTTACTTATACGTGTCGCTTGAAAGGAAAATTATTTTCAACTACGCTGAACTTTCGATGTTTCAATTGTAGAACAAATTTCTACATTTATTGTTATATTTTGTTTCAGAACTCGGCAATGTAACGCGTTGTTTGCGCGATTTGAAATAACACGTGCGTTCTCGTTGTGTACCTCGGTTTCTGCTGATGATTAATTTCGTACAAGCCAATTTAAAACGTGTCCCGATTTCATCGCGGTAGAAATTTACGACCGCGCGAAATTCGAGATAATTGCAATCTACGAAACGAACAGTGTCTTTTGGTTCTTTCAATTTTATCTGATTTAGAAATTAAAATGCTACACAAGCGTAAAATAGTTTAGATACTAGAACCGGCAGTTTGTTATTTTTTTGAAATTTTCTGATATGTTTCTGGAAACTTCAATTATTTTATTAGAAATTATTACGTGACGCATCTATTGCGTAGATGTTTATTTAAACGTAACACACTGTACAAGTATAAAATAGCTTAATAGTGAAATTATCAGTTTATAATTTTCTACACGGACAAATGATGTAATTTTTAGAGATTTCCTCCATTGTATTAGAGATTTTTTTCTACTCTTTGTATTTTAAATGCTGCAAACCTGTATCTTAGTATTTGATAACTTTAATGTTAATAATTTTCAACATTTCGTGGAATTATGTTTCACGTTTACTATACTTAAATAGCTGTTATATGTAATATATATATATATATATATACGCATTGATTTTTTTATTTTCATATATACATTGAGAGTTATAAGACTCATTTTCTAGACTGTAATCTACATTTTCGAATTCTTAGTGGTACTGTTTCTACCAGTTGAAACTAAATGAGAATGTCGAGACCCCAGGTGTTCGTACGTTTACTAGACGTGTTAATTATATCGATCTTCCGGGTTTGCATTACTTTGATCGTCACAAGTTTGGAACTCGCGCTTGTTTGTTAAATACATAGTAATAAGCAGACCGCGGGTATGCAAATTTTACGAAGAAGAAGATCGAACCTAAGTAAAAAATTATCTCACCTAATGAATATTACAACGAGTCGGATGTTTTACATATCTCTGTATAATTTTACATAAAAATTCCTAGCCTAATAATAACCGACTTCTGGACTTTGACGTTTGTTACGAAATTAATATCGTTCGTCCCAGTTTTTCTGCTCGTGTTTCAAACTTGCTTCTCAAATATTCCAATCGCATCGAAAAAGTTAGCTGCAACTTTTTTCAATTTATTTTAAAGTTAATTGCTCTAGACGAATGAAATTTTACGTAAAGATGATAACATTTATACTTTAATCTGCCTGTGTATACAAATACTTTACTCCAAAATTTTCTAAACAAAAGATACCTAATGAAAAAAGAAACAAGTGACTGTTGCATGGAACATTGACTAATCACAGATATAAACGTTAAGTAATCCCGAATCCTCGAAGAAAAACTCGATGGGATTTATTCAGAAGGGATTTATTCATTTTGCTGAGTTATTTCGTTCCGATTGAGTCACTCAGTGAAATTAGCAATATTCCCAAGGGACAGTCGGCATCCTCCAGAAGGACCCGGAAGTTCAACTTTGTTGACAGAAAGCAACATTCAGCTTCTCTCAAAACAGTCAGCTGGCCGAAAGTTACGTAAATCCCGAGTATTATATATTTTTCGGTGGCCGTACATACACGCGCACGTACTGTATTCACATTCAAGGTTATGAGTTGTTATTAAAGTTCGCCGCCCTTATGATCCTAACAAACGACTCCCGCGTAATTTCCGAGACCGTGATTGAGCACGGGAACACGTACAGCGAGTTAGGTGAACACCAGTTTAAGGGGTTTATATTTGTAACAAGCAACAGCGAGGCTGAAGGGAGATGCGAGTAATAATAATCTAAATATATCGCGGGAGTTGGAATTTCCGTGCTGATAACGAATGATTGAGAAGCAAGCCTCATATTTATGATAAAGCACCGGTTGCGAGTAAGGGGCAAGACGTAGAGAATGCGCGACGAGATTTAGCTATGCGTGGTAACAGATGGCTTAGCTGCAGGGTGGCAAGAATGTATTGTACGCTACGTGTATGAAATGTTTAAAAGCGCAGAATGATTGATAATGGAGTGGATGGTGTAGGAATAGAGAGAGAGAGCCGCTCGTGAAATGTCAGAGTGTTCGCTGGCGCTGAAATTAACCTATCGAGGATTGAGCGACGGTAAGAAAAACGTAAATAAATTATTGTACATTGTCGTTGCGTTTTTATTGGGAGTTGGTGATGAAAAATGGTATTGAAAAATGTAGAAATAATTCATAAAATTGTACTGGAGCCGGATGAACGAATAGTAACGAGTAAATGTATTGTACAAATCCGTAGAGTTTTACTTTACTCGTAATTATACCGTTAAAAAAATCTAAATTACAAGAAAGAATAAATCTAAATTGTTTTAATCTCGAAACATCAATTATTTCATTTTCACATTAAACTAGTTTTTTATTTTTCATCTCTGGCGTAATATTTTCCGCGGTGCGAAGATGAAAGGGAAAAAAAGAAAGAAACCGAAAAAAGGGGAAAAAGCAAAATGAAACAGTGTTTGGATGGTACGAAAAATTCGTTTGAAATGTTGTAGCAGAGTGTTAATGGATCAAGAGAGAGAGAGAGAGAGAGAGAGAGAGAGAGAGAGAGAGAGAGAGAGAGAGATGACTGTTCGAAAGAGACGAAAAAATCTGAAACAAATTTATTTATTTTATTATTTTATTAGAGTTTTTATTATTTTACTTTACATTAATAACCGATGGAAACCAGTCGTGGCGAAAGTTCACAATATCGAAGAAACACAGCGTGCCATTAGGTTTTCAATAAGGAAGGAACGATAAACGAACATTAAGAACTAATTAAGATCTCGTCGCCGCTTGCTCAATAGCCGTGTTATAAACCTCGCCGGTAGATTCAACGACCTCGGCACGTGGGTCACGACCAGCCCGACGTAGATGCTAAGGTACTGTTAATTACGCGAAACTCTCCATTATAAATTGCGAACTAACCGACAACCGACAATCTCATTCAGGATGGCACTGACAGGGGACGTTATCCGCAATCTTGACACACCCATTTTGATAAAACTTTGAGAATTTCTACTGGAAGTTAAATGTCAGTTTTTTCTTTTCACTCTTTGTTCCCACGCAAGCTCTACACTTTAGAGAATATTAGTCGAATCATTTAATATCAATCAAATTTTGTATTTTATTTTATTTTTTTTTCTTTTGTGGTTTTTAGTACACTGGCCGATACAGCTGATACGTTAATCGACACATTATTGTTGCATAATTGTGTCGTGAAACTTGACACTTGGAATTAGTAGAATTAAAAGTTGAAGAGTGAAATGTTTGGTAAAAGTTGGAGATTGATTTAAAAGTCGTTTCAACGCGAAATTTGCAATCGTCGACGAATCGTTGACGTTGGACATTTCTTTAATGTCACACGGTTTTCGTGATACGTGAAATGTCCGAAGGGCATTCGAGGTCACGCTTGGATAATGCCGGTTTAATAAAAGTTTGGAGATTATACATTATAGAATGTAAATTATTTTACAAAGTATTTTATTCGATATATCATGTAATTTTTCTTTCAACTATTTATGTCTGTGATCAAGTATAATTTAATACAAGTACTCACGTGGTACGAGTTATCAAAAGTCAGAATAAAACGTTTTATTGTTACTTCTATCAGTATCGAATATTTTTATTCTATGGAAAAAATTTGTTTCGCGAAGAAGATGTAACGTTTAATTAATTTTACTTAATGCAATATATTGATCGTTTAGTTAATTAGCAACTTATTAAAAAACAATTTTGCTTATGTTCTACATCGAGCGTGATTAACCTATATCATTTTAATTACATCAGTTTAATGTAATTCGTTATATATATAGACAATACTATTGTTAGAATATTATTGACAAATAAGCGCGCGTAAAAATGTACTCTTTGTGTAATTTTCAATAATATCCTTTATAGATTCAATTATTCAATAAATTGTCTACCTTTAAACATTCTTCCTATTGTGTTATTATTAAATAAGCATATCTAAATACATGTAAATGAATTTCCAAAGTAGTTCCTCTCTTAATAACGGCAATATTTCTGACAAATTCAATTAATAATAATCCGTAATAAATCTTTTAAATATTACTGATCACATATTATTACTGATCACACAGGTAAATTTTCTATGCAATCCTTTTTTCAATAGCAACAGCAAGACGCCTTCAAGATCCAGTTATTTAATATTATTCTTATCTCGATATATCCTTATATACGCAACCGAATGCGCACGAACAACCAGAGTAAATTAGAAATTTAACAGCAGACTATTAAACGATAATCTCTGTACGGCGTATGATTTATGAATT